CTCCTGGAGAGCTCTGTTCCTTACAACGAGCATTGCTTCCTGGCTCCGGAGGGGAAGATGTGCACTGCTCAATCTCCAGGATGAACTCATCACACTGGCTTCCTGGCATGTACTTGACTGTCCTTGTCATTGGAGGAGCTCGGAACCTCCGTGTTGCTGAGGATGGCTGTGGTGCTTTTCAGGACAGTCCTGGTCTTTGTCGTGAGTGTGGCTTCTTGGCACCAGTGTAGAACCCTCATCCCACCAGCACAGCACCTTCACCCCACTGGCATGGACTTTCTGGCTTCCACCACTGACTTTGAGCTTTCCCAGCACAGATCTGTAAAAGAGACTGGCGTGAGTCTTTTTTGTGGGCTCTAGACTTCTAGTTGGACTCATGGAAGGCATAGTCATGAGCTCTGGGTTTGCATCTTGACTCATGTGGGACATTGCTATGGGATTCAGGCCCTTAGCTAGATATTCTATGTCTTTAGTGTTATGGATAGATTTCCTGCATTTCTTTGTGTTAACTCTGGGTGACCATCATAAGCAATATTATATATTTCATGTCCTGATTCTAATTGTTCTCTGCACAACCCCTGACTACGATAGATAGGATAGAAAATAGAAGTTTAGGGAGAATCGTGATACAAAGTGCATCTTTTTGCGGTTGTTAACACAGTGTGCTCTGTGTACTTTGTATAAAGGTCCCCTTTTCCCAGAGTTCCTTTCCCATGTAGCGCACTGTCCCATCCAGGCTGACCTCAGTGGCGGCCTCTTCCTTGAGGGCCTTCTTGAGTTTTCCAGCTCATACATTTTTTTCCTTGTCTGAACACATGAGGTGTTTAAACAAGTAAACAATGACACTGTGTAAGCTCAGAATAAGGTTTTGCTCTTGTAATGTGAGCTTTTGATTCCTGACAATACAGCAGTATTTCCTGTTACAGATTGAATATAAAAGGGATGCTGAGAATTCTGTTTCCTTCCCTCTCTCTTCATACTCAAAAATAGCTAAATTTACTGATCTTTTAAAAATTTATTCAATAATGCACTAAGCATTTTTCATACATCATCTTATTGAATCCTGGCTTTTAAAAAAACGTGCTGGCCACAGTCCTCAGAGGAGCTGAGTAAGCCGTCTGCACCTCACTGATGAGAAGCCGTGCAACAGGCAGTGAACACAGAATGCCCAGATTTTGAACTCAGAACTTTCTAGCCTTGGAGGCCTTGCTCTCAAACACCACAACATGCTCAAAACATCTGGATCATTTGATTTTACCTGGTGTCAGACAAATATACTTGTTGGGACCATATTTGCATACTTCAAGTTATATGATAAATACTTTTTGGGTCTCATCACAGAATCTCTGAAACTGTATCCAGCCTCATTTGGAAAAAAAAAAAAATGTGTGGGTTCCCATTTGAGACCTTTCATGAATGTGGCCCCTAGCCAGATGGTATTCCCTATTCACCTTGATGCCATTATTCCTCCATGACCCTGAGCCACTCCTGGTTGGTGGCTAGGCCTGCCACGCTTGCACGCACGCACACATGCACACGCATGCACGTACACACACGCACGCACATGGAAGCTCATCAGACAGTGGGTATTAAAGCACTTTTATCGTATCTCTATATTTTGAAAATAAAAGCCTTTGAGACTTCCAGTCTACGACCCTAGCTAAAGGCTGCAAGGCCCTTGAATTTTAAATGCATTTCAAAAAATCATTTTACTGTTGCTGCCCTCAAAATTGGATCTTCTGTGCTGTACTGGGCAGAGGCAAACAGAGAGCCAAGAAGTGGGATGAGTTTGGCACCGTGTCTCACTTGCCAGGGGCCAAGGTTTTTGTAGGTTTGGATTTTGTTTGGGACAGTCTTGGATGCACTTGGTTCCTTTTTGCAGAGTGTCCAAATGTGAGAGTGAGTGGTATACAGATGAGGGAAAACTAGTCAGCGTGAAGGATGAAGCGGGTTTCCTCTGTGCATACCTTTTCTTACCTGTGTAAGGAACTTTCTAGACACTGGCTCACCTGAAGGACCCGGGTTGTCATAGCAGCACTTGAGTGTTCGTCACTGCTGTTTCCTGCAGGTTTTCACTATGTTTTGATACTTGATTCTACGAGTAAATTAATAAAGCTCTGCAGGTCCAAGCACATCCTTGGTGGACAAGCAATGGCTCCAAACAGCCTGGGCTCCCTGAATTCTGCTCTTGTCTCGGCCAGAAGTCAAGGCCAGGCCCTTGTCTTTTCCTCAAACATAGACAAAGAGGAAAGGACATGCAGGTCACCCTTGGAGGGTATTGGGTGAGCTGGCCTCACTCAAGTGTCAGTGCTGGGGCAAAAATGTCTGCCCTGTAGCAAGTATCCTGGATTCAAAGTGGAGAGCAGAAATCACAATCCAGAAGCCCCAGGTCTCATTGGGACTGCAGACTTGTTCACTTGCCCTTACAGAGCTGGCCTGCAACATATTTTTAAAAAACTTTTTTTTTAGCTGGGTGTGTGACTCACGCCTGTAATCCCAGCACTCAGGAGGCTGAGGCAAGAGGATTGTTGTGAGTTTGAGACTAGCCTAGGCTACAAAGTGAGCTCAAGGCCAGCCTGAACTGCATAAGAGACTCTGTCTCAAAAAGACAAAAGAAAAAAAACGTTTTTTGTGCCAGGGAATTGAATTTGGGACCTCATGCTTGCCACGTAGGGACTGTGATGCTGGGCTAAATCCCTTGGCCCTACTTAAATTTTAAATTAGTGTCAGTTTTTAAAAAACCAGAGCATTTTGCATTAAGAAAATACGAACATTTGGTTTTACTCAGAAAAACAGGTCTTCTCTGTGTGTGTGAGAGAGGAGGAAGCACTGAGTAGACCTTGAACACTGAGCAGGAACTGGGCAGGCACTGAAGAGCAGGCACCAGGCTGGCACGGAGGAGCAGGTGCTCTGTCACCAGGCGCCAAGGGTTTGCTTTCCATGCTGGTGCAGGCTGCTGCTCCTGAGCCCTCCACCCCATACCACCATGCACCAGCCATCACTGGCCGAGCCACCTGGCTCCATGGACACATACGCTTCATTTCCCCGGTGTCTGAGCAGCTGTAGTTTATGAGACTGGCTGTCAAAGGCCTCCTATTCCATAGATGTTGAGGAGGTTGCTCAAAATTGTCGGTGGTTCTAACACCTGGAGGAACTGGGTGAGCCTTAGGATTATTTATTTATTTATTTGTCAGAAATCGAACTTGAAACCTTACATTTGCAGGGCAGGTGCTGTACCACTGAGCTATAACCCCAACCCATGCCTTAGCTTTTAGAGGTGCCTGGTTGTTTCCCTCCTGTCCGTGAACTCTGCTCAGTAAGTAAGTGCAGTAGAAAGTTGGAGTCCCAGTCAAGCGGCACAAGAAGAGACCTGGAAATGCCTCAGGGCTCTGCAGGAACACACATGATGTGGAAGGAAGCGGGGAGAAGAGGCCTGAGCTCTGGGCAGGCACCAGGGATGCCTGTGCTGGGAATGAGAACAACATCAGTGCATTAGGATCCTAGTCGCCAGTGTGAATGGACCACAGCTCACTCATGGACATTCCAGGAGGAGAAACGCACAACGCATATGGAATCTTGTTTCCCATCCACACAGATTGGTTTTTGAAATTAGCATCATGTTTGGAAGTTAGTGTGTGACAGCTGACTACAGAAACCTGCACAGCCCCTTCCTGGAGAGCAGGTCCTCTCAGAGCAGAGAGCCTCCATGTCCTTCCCTGCTGTATTCCTAGCATCCAAGTGACCCCTATTACATAGTGTGTACACAAAAATAATTATGAAATCCATTCATCTGTTGATCAGTTAAGGACAAACAGAAATAATTTAAACAACTCTCTTTGAAAACTCAACCATCAAGTTTTGCTCATTTAAATCCATGAACTTTATGGACCATTGTTTGCTACCCCTCCGTGGTGGCCATGGCTCTATGCAGGGTAGCTATTGTGTTAGATTGGTCTATGTAAGAAGGCATGTGGTTCTGGACTATAGAGGTTTTTCCACTTTAATCTTAAAGGGTTCGGACTCACCTGTAGATTCCCTGAAGGATTGAATCACTGGAGGGGTCAGTCATCTCTATGGCTAGAGTCAGAATGCCTTTCAGAGCCAGCAGTTTCCCGCTCTATTTTTGCTGCTGCCAAAACTTGTTTGGGGTTGCTGGAGAGGTGGGGGCCAGTCTACTGCTGAGGCCATGGGAAGATTTCACAAATAATAATACATGCTTTGTAAGTCTTAGATAAGTTGTAAGTGAATGCTTCTGTGTTATAACAATAATAAAGTTGCACATAATGTAAAAGTAATTCAGTTCTATCTGATTCCTTAAATTCATTCCTTTCTTGAAAGTGATCATTAGTAATTTTTATATATACCATTTAAAACTTTTTTCTACGGAGTAGCATCATTCTGTATTATCATGAAGACAGGATTCCTTAAAAACATAAATTGGATTATGATATGGGTAATGCTAAATAATTTTTCAAACAGTGGCAGAGCCTTGCAGCTTGGAGAAATGCATCTCAACACATATGTATCTGTGTAACCTAATTGTACAGTGGTACACTGCCATATGTATGTGTATTAGCTTATTTAAGTGTTCTGTAATCCATAGACAGATCGCTTTTTTCAGTGTTTCACTGGCATGAATAATGTCATAAGGACATGTTTGCCCTTCCTCTTCATGAACATATACAAGTCTTTCTGTAGAAAACATGCATTGAATTACAATTGCTGGTGTAAAATATGCATATGTAAAATTCTGTAGAGATTCTACTTCAAATTTGTTCTTCCAAAAAGTTAAACCAATTTACTCTTTTGCCAGTAGGACAATAGATTAATTCTCCCACCACTCCCTTTGAAATTCTTTAAGTTTCATGAACAAAAAATCCCATTATATTTCTAAATAATATCCTTGATTCCCTGTTAAGTAGAGCTCGGTGCACCGGCTGATGGCCCTTTGGTTTCCTGTGCCTCCTGGGTCTAAGTGCTGCACTGTCCTTCTTTTTCAGATGCTCACTACCTCACCTGCAGGATCCAGGAGTGTGCCGAGACCACTCGGAGTGGCCCCTTTGCCCGTTCCATTGACGTCAGCTCCCTGGTTGTCCAGGACGAATATATCTTCATTCAGGTGAGTGCAGCAAGTGCAGGCAGTGGGAGGAAGAGGAAGGGGATTCTTGCCTCCTGAGGAAGTGAGGAAGGCTTCCCCAGGCTGTGCAGGTGCAGAGCTGCGATATCATCCCTCTTTCTTTGACGAGGAGATAGCCCAGTCTCTGCGGCAGGCTGGAGGTGTTATGGGCCAGTGTACCTCCTAGCATGCTCAGTGGCCCTCAGATTCTTCCATCAGATTGCGCTTTTTGAAAACAGAGCTGTCTTGGCATCGTTAGTTCTTGGGCTAGGGTCTGAGGTTACTGAAAGTCAAGTGTGTTACAGTCTTTCATCAAAATGTTCTGTTTCAGTCCAAAGCAACTTGTCTACCTTGAAATTGAAAATCCCCTAAGGATCTCTAGGGTTTTCTGGAAAAGTGAAGAACTCAGGGAGTCTTCCCCTCTTTCTGGTGCTGGCCTCATCCTCAAATGTGCAATTCACAAATGCTTTACTTCCAGCACTCCCTTAGAGAGTGAGCAGAACTTAACATTTTTAGGTAGGCAAAGGGCTTTGAGGCTTTGAGGTTTGTGGCTTCCTGTGGTGCTGGGAGGAAGCACAAAATTGAGTAATGGTGACTCTTGGAGAAGAGGTTGACCCCACGGAGGGGTGTGTGTGCATGCACGTGGCTAACACATCTGTCTTGGTGTTTGATGAAAACCTTGAGCTTTTCTACTCTGCTTTTCCATCATTCTTCTCTCAGTTGTTTTGCAAACTGTTTTCCACAGGAAATTTCAACCTAAACATCTCTCTGAGTTTGCTCAGATCCAAGTACATCTCAGCCTCTGCCTGACCCCTGGCCTTTCATGTGGATCAATGCTGTGTCCTCTGCGAGGGTGAATCAGCATCCCAGCCCCAGGTTCCTCACCGTCCTGTGTATCTCTGCAGCTTTCGGGTTTATATCTGTACCACTCTTCCAGCACACAGGCCTTGAAGAGCCATGGCTTGCTAAGCACGAAGATTTGTCTCCTTTACAAATTCCATGGCACACAGAATATTTTTTACTTATATTCTACACCCTTATTCTTTATCTTACCATGGTACCTTTGCAAATCAGGGTGTATAATGAACATTTTCATGTTTGTGGGTTTGAAACTACAACTCAGTTTCATGGATTTTTTTCTTTATTGCAGTAATGGGGATTGAACCCAGGGCCTTCTCACTGAACTACATTCCCAGCTCATTACCATCATCATTATCATCTGAGATGGGTCTCACTAAATCACAGAATTACCCAGGGTGAGCTTGAAATTAGGATCTTCCTAATTTCAGAGTGTTGGGATTATGTGTGTGTGGCACCATGCCTGATATTCACTTGGATTTTTGAAGTCAAGGAAAATACAGGAAAAGTAGCCTGGTATTCAAAAACCAACTTAAAAGATAGAGTAAAAGAGAAAAATCTCTGAAAGTTAAAATATAAATATTCCATTTCAGTTTGATGTAAAGCCAGAAGCTTAGGGTTGCTTCTCTAAGTCTCTGCAGGTCAGTGTCATTCTTATGATCTCCGTCACCGGTCTTTACTGCAAAATGTGCAATTCTAATCCTTGATTTTGGTGTTTCCAAGGTTTCTATCCTTAGGGCTGCTTCCCTCTGCAACCAGACTCATCATCTTAGCAATCTTTTGGCTTTGAACGTCATCATCTGTTCTGATGACTCTCCTCTACCATGTCCTGAAGACCCATAGATCTGGGAGCTCTCTCAGCATCCCAGCATGGATGTCCCACAGGACAAAACAAAGCCAGCAGGATCCTCTCAGTTGGTGCTCTGACCCTCACAGTGGAAGGGTGAAGGCTCAGTCTGTGCAAACTGAATCAGCCTGTACTGAAATCTCCCCTATTTCTCAGGTGATTCTTTTTCATATGATTCTTTCCCCTTCTTTCAATCCCCACCCCTTGCTCTTTTCTCTTTCTCTTTATTGAAATGTTTTTAGAAGCAGAAGCTCACAGATGATTTATGAATTTTCCAGTCTGATTGCCCTTTGCTTAATGCTAACATTGTACATCATGATGAACCGTGACAGAATTGTCTCTGGGAAACATGACTTAAAACTTGAAATGATCACAATTTTGTCTTGCGTTACATAAAGTTTTCTGCAACTCTGCAGGTGGGTAACCAGATTTTTAAAGTTCTTCTGAAACATTTCTTTTCCTGTTATATCAGAAGAAGAAGTATTAAAAAAAACAGCAATATTTTATTTCCTTTGGAAGAGATATGAAGTTTCACCATCCAGTAAAGTTTTAGTCATTACCTAAACTCTGTTCTGCATGCTGGGGTTAAGGTAATGAACACAACGAATTTCCTGCCTTACTGCCTTACTAATCTGATTGGGAGAAAGGAAAAAGATATGTATTGATCTAGACATCCAATGGCTACTAGAAACATGTAGATCTTAACAGCAAGTAGCTTTTCAGACTGCAGTTTGCCATACTTAGTTGTGTGACTTTGAACTTTGCTTCATTTGACCTATTTGTAAAAAGAACATGATTGTAACGTTTACCTCATGGATTGCTGGGGGGACATGTTTGTCAGTCATACCTGTGAAATGCTGAAACAATGCCTGGAACCCTGTCTTCCACTGTCATCTATTTACCCGTCTTACAGAATGTACTAGATTATGACAGGTGCTATGAGTAGAAATGACTGTGAGTATGGAAGGCAGGAAGAAGTTGCCATCTTGTTTAGGGTCACCTGGAAAGGTCTCCTTGAGCAGTGGCAGAAGGCTGCGTAGTTAGTTGGGCATGTAGAACCAGAGTTGTTGCTACACCCTGATACAGGATGGGCAGTAGGGGCCCAAGGCTGGGTGCAGGAGCAGAGGTGGTGGGGAAGTCCTGGCTGAGTATGGAAATTGACAGATTGTCAGTGTATTGATGACATTTAGAAATCACAAAGTGTAACTCATCAAGACTGTATAAATACAAAAGAAATCATTCAAACACTGGACTGCAGGTCACTCCGGTATTTATAGTTCAAGGAAATGAGAGGGACCTGGCATATGAGGCCCTGACCTAGAGCTTGGGGAATCAGGTCAGAAGGCTTGTGTGATGCAGAATCTAGTGGGCCCCTTGTGTGCTGTTTCAAGGACTTCACGTTTTTACTATCAATGAGATAAGAAAAAGAGTGGATTAACAATGCCCAAAGTAACACAAAAGGCCATTAACTTGAAAATAGAACTTTGCAACTACCTATTGGTCATGTGAGACATTAAATAAATGGATGACAGTAGGCTGCAGGCTACACATAACAAAGGTACAAACCTCAGTTGGTTCGCCACTCACATTTAAGCAGCACTTTGCTTCTTGAAGGTGAATTTGGCCGTTTGCAATGGTAAATAGAACTCATGCACCTTAGCAGTGACAGTGTCAGCTTAGTGTTCAGTTGTTGTTACAGTTTTTTTTTTTTTTTTTTTTTTTTTTTTTTTTTTAACTCATTATATGCTCTGCTTTCCTTGGCTTCTGATGTTTTACTCTGATAATCTTTAACGTTTGTCTTTCAGTTCTGCTTATCTTTATAACTTCCTATAACATAACGAATCTTCTATTTTCAGACTCTACCTGTGGATACCCGCATGGGAACAATTATAAAGTTGATGTATCTCCATGCATTTCAGTTTCTTTTCATCTCTGATGTTCTTCTACCATGCAGCTTTGATCAAGCATTTCCTAGTGTTTGCTTTACTATCTTAAACTATAATTTGTTGAACTTAAATATTTGGTGAAACACTACCGAGGAAATGTGAAGAGAAAATAGTGTGCATTGGTGATCTCTCTCTCTGTTACTGCTCCCAGATCACTCTTATTAATGAAGTCGCTTAGAGCTGTGTGTCCTGCCCTACACAGCTCTCCTGCAGTACTTTGACCTCAGTTTTGTACATGTATGTACCCAGTGTCCCCACCAGTCCTCTTCTGTAGTTTTTCCACTTGCATCTTTGTTGTCTGAAGATTGCCCTTCAGTGAAGACTTCTAGATCAGCTGATACTAGACTTTTGGAAATATTTGTTTACCTCCATTTCTGCTTTAATATTCTACTCTAATGTTCTACAATTTACTTTTTTCTGTGAGAAACTTGCTCCATTAATTTTCAAATTTAGTGTGTTGGGCCAGTTAGTGGTTTTCTTCTTTTTGGTGTCTGGTTTTGTTGTATGGGGGAGGGGTGCTTTTGCTTTCCTTTACCTTTGATAACTAAACTTCCTTTTTTGTGTATATTGAATGCCATTTACTTATTAGTGTTTTTCATGGTTAACATGCTATGACAACCTTTTCCTTTACAATATGAGTCTCTTTGACTCAATAGATTTTTTTCATTCTCCATTTCTCATAAGTTCTTTGACATGTCTTGAATTATCTATTTTATTTCAGTTTTATCGCTTTTGCTATTTTCCATCAGGGGCCAGGAAGCACATACTAGAAAGGAAAGAACAAAGATGAATATTGTTTCATCCTATCTTCATTTGAGCAAACTGAGTAAAATGAGATATACAGACAATATTATATTACTCTGGAATAACTATTTAGTAGTGTCCAATATCCAGGCTCCATTTTTCCATTTTCTTTCTTTTTTTCCTGCCTTTCCATATTTTCTAAACTTTGCCAGCTCATATTTTATCTCATTTTGTTATCTCAATGTATTGCTCCTAAGCTCTTGTATTTCTGTTTTAAGTTCTTCTCTTAAAGAAGAAACCTCCCCATGTAGGTTATTTTTAATCACAGTAATGTGATCACAATTTTCATTTGGTCCATGGAATTGTATTTTGGTCTATGTCTGCTGTCTCTACCTTTCCCATTTTCTGCTTTTATTTTTCTGTATTATTTTATAGTTATTGCATTGTTTCATTTATCTTTATGGTTTTGAATATTACCTTTTTTTCAGTACTGAGATTGAACCCAGGGCCTCCACACATAACTACAACCCCTGCCCAGTCTGAGCTCAATCTTGTGATTGGTCTCTGTCAGGCTCCCAGAGTGCTGGAATTACAAGTATATACCACTG